CTGCACTTTGTAGATAGCCATAAATTTGTTTTTACCTTCCACATGTTGGATTTTAATATGAACAGAGGTACTGAATAAATCAACCCTTAAAATAATACTTTATGTAATTTTTTGCTGCAATTGCAGTCTGCATCTCATGTTCCAACACAAGCAGAAAAGGAAGCTGCCATGGAGGAAATGAAAACAAGAAAAGAAGCTCTTCAAAATGCATCAGAAGAACGTAAGAACTTTATGCAGACCATGGAGCTGAAACGAAAGGAGAATGCCAAACCATCAGACCTTGAACAGGTAAAGTGACTGTAATGTATAGAGTGAAAACCTTTTAATAATTTAGTGAGGTAGTTTGTTAGTCATGCAAGTTCACCCCTTCATAAACTGCAGGCCTATTTATTTTCCCTTTCTGTACATGTGAAATAGCTTTGTTAACACTTGGAAAAAGAAAACAGTAGAATTTACTTTAAGAAGTGACTTATTGGTAAGAGGGCTTTTTTATAGGGGCATGAAAAAATTATCAGCAAGCAGCTCACCCTCCCTTCCCCCCCCCCCCTCCATCCCCTTTAATGGCAGAAATCTTTCGTGGCTAAATTTTTGTGTTTCTGTTTTATATGATGTTTCAGGAGAAGATGATACAGAGTGGAACTTTACTAGATAAAGCTAATGAACTAATGGAGGAACAAGATGATGAAATTAAGAAGTTGAATGAGGTATGTTTAATTAATCTAGGTATCATAATGAAATGTCTTATTGACCAAGCCTAAGGTCAAGATGGATGGAGAACAATAATGAAGGTCCATAAGCATACCAACATAGGAAAATGAGTTCAGTATCCAGGCACCTTGAGCCAACAAATAGTTGGTAAGAGACATAATCCATTGTGAAAAGATTTTGCCCCAGAACTACTTTTTATTGGAAACAAAGAGGGCATTCATGAGGGGACAAGGCAGGCCCAACTTGCCTACCCAACTAGCCAATCAGATCATGGGATTTGCCTTGTCTTGCCTTAATTTTCTGAGCAAGCATTATTTATTGAAGTCTTCTTTGATGTAATTTCTGTACTGTGTGATTTTACACTTGACTCATTATCTCTGAGACATCAATAAAAAGTAACTCAACCAACCAGTAGCAAGGTTATTAATATTTTTTTTCAGTCTTAGCCCACTGGTGAAGCAGAGTGACCAATCAATCTAAAACTTGAATTTAAATTTTTACAACAGCTCATCTTGAATGCTAAATGCCATGCAATCCGTGATGCCCAACTCATTGAAAAGGTTGACATCAAGAAAGAACAGCTTGAAGAAGAGAAACGCCTTGATGAAATGATGGAGGTGGAAAGACGCAAAGCACTCAAAGAGTACGAGGAGAGGGAGAAGGCTGCTCATCTTGAAAGACTGAAGGGTGCACAAGTGTTGCAACATCAGATTACAGACAGAGAACAGATAAGGCTGTTGGATGAGGAGAAAAAGGATCAGGAAACTAAGGTTATTATAAATATTTTTTACCATCAGTTTTTCAGGCTCCTCGGAGGCAGTTTGAAGTTGACTTTTATTTGAGAATTTATGAAAGTAAACAAAATATGTCCTAAAATTCTGCCTGTTTTAAATATTTTAAAGAAATGTGAATTCTTTTACATTAATTTTGTTTCTTTCTTTTTTTTTATTTCTGAAGCAATGTTAAAGCTGCTTTTACAATGTTATCAATCAAGATATATGTTTTAAACATCCATAACTTTTGTTTTTAAACTGACTAAATTCAAGTTCACATAGAGCCTGGCCACCTGCACATATCCTTAAAGCTGTTGGAAAGGTGTTCTCGTTTCCCTAATAAAATACTCTACACAGGGAAACAGTGTAAAAGTATCTTCTATTTTGTTCCACTGTAAGGTTTTTCTTATTTTAAGATTAATGCCTGTTTTCCTTCTCCTGTTGTTTCTTTCGTTTATGTAGCCAACCATGTATGATATTCAGTCTGATATATGTTAAAAAAAATGTTTCTCTTTCAGGCTATGTTGCAATATTTGGATAAACTACAAGCAGAAGATTTGGAGAACCTGATAAAAAAGAAAGAAATTCAGCGAGCGTTGATGAAAGAAGTAGCCAAAGCAAATGAGGTAACTGAACCTCATCCATTAGGATACACCTCTCATCCACCCCCAGGGGGCTCAGATAGGATTTTTTAGTAGATGGGGGACTGAAACTAGCAACTAAACCCTTTCATTCCATCAATCAAATTCTTCTTACTGTTGGACATACAATTCTTATGATGCTAGTTTGGAGAATTTGGTATTGGATGAACTGAAAATCCCTTTGGCGTCCACTGACTTCTTCAGTGTACTTCGAATAAATTCAAGGTAAAGTTTAGTCAGTTCGAAAAATGCAACTGATATAATTTTTTTTTATTCAGGAAATCGCTCAGCAGAAGGACCGCAAGGCGGCGCAAGACAAGCTCGAGGAAATTAAAGTCATGGAATATCTGAAACAGAAAGCGGTTAGTGAACAAGCTCGGTCGCATGATATTCTTGTTGACATTTTTACTTTCCTCGCTTTTTTCTTTAATTCACATTTTTACTTTTTATGCAGGAAAGAGAGGAGGCCTACCAGCGTGAATTAGAAATGGCTAGAGTTGAAAAAGAGAAAGAAATTGCTCGTCTACGTGCACAGCAGGAGAGAGCCAAAGACAAACAAGCTGAGAAGGTATTGTTTCAAGATAGCCATACTTTGTTATTGTTTCGAGTTGCCCTATAGGCGTTGTAAAGTGGAGCTTAAAGTGCCGCAGCATTATACGCGCTTGATGCGCGCGCAATTTCCGTGCACTTAACGCGCAAAACACGCACACTGCGCGTCACTACACTCACCTGTGTGAAATAAAGTATGCACGTTCATGTAAATCAGTTAATTAGAACTCATGTATTTGGCGGTGTTTTACCAGCAGTCGCAAACAAGTTTGAGGTTTTGCTACGCTTTCAAATGTCAAACCTGTCTTAAATAAAAGAAACATCTACTTTTGTAGGATGCTCTTAGAGCCAAGCGAAATCAGGAAGAAGCAGAACGGGAATGGAGAAGAAAAGAAAAAGAAGAAGCTGAGAAAAAGTGAGTGAAGAGAACTAGCCAGTTGATTGTCATAAATAATCCGGGATTTCCCTCATTTAGCTGTAATTCCCCCTCTGGACCTCAGTGATTGGTCTTGGAAAATTACGCCATCTTCTTTTAACCAATCAGATGCAAAACGGAAAACCAATCACGACTTGATCGATTTTCTGTGGCTGATCCTGGTCAGGGTACTGGGGGTCCGTACTTCCTGCCCTTTATGCAACTGGGCCCTAGCGTTTAACAAATCTGTGTTGTTGCTGTTATTTTTAAATCAAAAACTCCTTGATCTGCCACTGCTTGTGTTTTACTTACCGCGCATGAGACAGCTTTCTTTTGACTCTGATCGAGATCTTGTCAGCTCCCTGGTTTGTTTTCCTTCGTTCTGATTAGCTACTGTAATCTGTTTAGTTTGGGCCTCATGACGCTCAGTCGTTTGCAGATCAGAATCTGAAATTTTCTTGTTTCTCGTTACATTTTCTACAACTTTTTCACGCTATATTTTATTTATTTACAGAAAGCAAACTGAGGAAATGTTACGTGCCGCTCGTGAAGTGCAAGTGAGGAATAAAGAACATTTCTTAGCCGTGCAAGCTGCCAGAGATAGGGCTGAGTTTGAGAGGGTGTTAAAGTAAGTCATATTTACTTTTAGTTCTTTAGTTCAAGTATTCCTCGCTCTTCGAAGCCGGTGGCGGATTTCGTTAAATTTTCTCGCCTTTAGTGTTGGTTTACGTCAATTAAGTTGAAACGAGTTTACGAGCCTGCGCGAAATTTTTTTCCTAAAGTACAGTGGTGGTCTCATCCTTGCAGTTTCCCTGTAATTAAAACGTAACTATCAATATCTGTAGGGTGCAAGAGGAACAACTGCTAAAAGACGAAGAAGCTGAAAAAGTAGATGCAGTCCGCCGTCATCAGCATGCGGAAGAAGTGCGTCAACAGGTCCGCGAGAAAGAGAAAGATCGCATCAAGGCCAGGAACGCTTTCTTTGAGGAAGGAATCAAATTGGACCAAGAAGCTCGAGCAAGGTAGGTTTATATTAATTCAAGACCATTCGAAATAATTTTCTCGAGAATAAGACTAAGCGGTAGTTAACGTGTATTAATACTGCAAGATGTTAAACCAATCAGACTGAGACTGACAATATTTTGACCAAATAAAAAACACGGAATTTTGGGAAGCGATTTCTTTCCTTGTAAATTAGATGGGTCGTAACCACTTTTTGAAAACAATGGCACGAAGCCTGCTCAATTTTTCGCCATGGTTACTAACGTTATATTAACTAATGTATATTTCCAGGCGGCAGAAGTTGGACGAAATAAAAAGAAGAAAGTTGCAGGAGCTGAAAGATGCTGGTGTGCCTGACAAGTATTGCAACGAGGTCGCGCGCAGGATCGAGGCTCCACCTCCTTCGCTATCCCGGATGTACTAAGCCTGCGACTGAACTTTTTCCCTTAAAAACTTTATTTTTTGTCTCTTGAATTTGAAGAAAATTAAACGATGGTCTCGACATTAACATTATAAATGCAGAGGCTTTCTCGTTTTGAGGTTTAAATTGAGATTGTGAATATTAGTCTGATCGGGAAATGTCTTTTGTCTCAGCGAATAAATTTCTTCTTGATCATTTTGTTCTTACAGTGTAAATATATTCATTACATTTTACCATGTGTATAAAGATTATTCTATCAAACAATTAAAATAGTGGGCGTGGTGAAACGTGTTTCTTTACTAATAATTAACTGGTTTTTACCAGTTTTTAAACAAAATGAGTTAAACTCCCTGGATAGAAGTGTAGCTAGCGTCTTTGTTACAGAAAAAAATTAAACACGTTTGTTTTCATTACCTTTTCTGGTGATTTTGTAAGAGGATTTTCATTCCCCGGTTTGAAGGTCTGAAATTGTGCTTGTTTTTGTCTTTTTCCTCTGTTTGTGCCCAACAAGTGTTTAACCTTTCAATTAACTCCAAAGGTCTGATTGTTAATTTTCTCCTCTAGACATTTCTTAGCTAATTAGTTCCAAGAATTTGGTGTTAGATCAAGATTACTTCTACCTGATAAGTGTGTGTATTCTCATTACCTGTTTGCTGGATAATGTATGGATATTATAGGGAGAAGTTAATCCTCGGGATGAGAAAAATCGGCACGCTAGGCAGTATAGATAAAAAATTACTTCGAGTAATGGAAATTTATACAAGTCTTACTTTAAATGGCTTAGAATTATATGGTAATTTAGTATTATTAACTGAGTTGATAACGTATAAGCTACCGTAAAGAGCTGACGTTTCGAGCGCTAGCTTTTAAACTGTTTAAAACTTCTGGCCTAATTTACGTTATCAACTCAGTTGATAACACTTAATTACCTTGTTATGCTCTCCCACCGACGCAGAATTACAGTTTCTTTACAGACTTAGCCCCTTTGCTCAGAATTATAGCTTTACAGAGGTGTGCGACCAATCAGAACCGATCATACGATCAAACACTAACGCGAATTCCCTTCAAAAGCTTATACCCAGTTTCTCTCCTCTTCTAGCCCCTAAATTAGGGCAACAAGGTTACTATTTCTATCAAGGTTAATTTTTTCTTCTCGTGGTTATTTCAGGTCTATAACAAGAATCCTTCCTCCTTTCCATTCTTGGTTTGTTTCTATTCAGATAGTTGGCTCATCAATGACGAAGATGCCTCAATGTCTCCTTCCTCCACAGGAAGCGCCACGTCGCAGATTGTTTGAAGTTTGTTAGTTACACGATCTGAAGAGGAGAATGAAGAAACGCGTGGATCAAAGAATTGTTGAGACTGGAGACCTCTTGTTAGTCTTTCCTAGAGATATTTCCAATTGATGTTCGAAAATGATCGCCACCCAATAGGCAGTTAATATTGGCGGTCAATTTTCCATAGTACCCCTCATTAAACTCTATTGGCGA